GCTTGCTGCAAGGCTGGAGACGGCTTTGCAAGCTTCCTGGAGCTACTGCAAGGTTGGAGGTCGGGGGGAGCATGTTGCAAGGACCTGGAGGCTTTATAACGCTGGGTGCTATGGGGGAGGGGGGACCCATTGCAAGGACTTGGGGACTTTGCAAGGCTGGGGGTCGGGGAGGAGCAGATTGCATGGTCCTGGGGCCTTTGCAGGGCTAGGAGCTGGGGTGGGAGAGGTTGGAGGCTCATTGCAAGGCTGAGGTCTGGCTTTGCAAGCTTCCTGGAGTTTTTCCACAGTTGAGGGTTGGATCCTTTACACATAGCAGAGGCCTGGGGGTGTTGCAAGGGTCTGGGGGGGTTGCAAGTCTGGGAGCTGGGTCGGGGGTGGCTTTGTAAGCCTCCAGGCACTTCTGCAAGGCTGGGAGTCAGCGGGAAGCATATTGCATGGTCCTGGGGGCCTTTGCAAGGCCACGAGGCAGGAGACTTGCTTTGCGAGTTTTCTGGAGCTTTTGCACTGCTGGGGCTCTGAGGAGAGCACGTCGCAAGAGCCTGGGGGCTTTGCAAGGCTCGGGGTCTAGTCGGGGTTGGGGGGAAGCATATTGCATGGCCCTGCAGCCTTTGCAAGGCTGGGAGCTGGGCTGGGGGCAGCTTTGCAAGCTTCCCAGAGCTTTTACAGGCAGAAAATCAGGGTAGTGCGTATTGCATGGTCCCCAGGACTTTGCAACAGTGGGAGGAAGGGGTGGATTTGCAAGCTTTTGGGAGCTTTTACTAGGCTGGGAATTGGGGGAGAGAGAGCATTGCATGGTTTGGGGGGCTTTGCAAGGCCAGGACCTCAGGGTGCAACTTTGCAACCTCCCTGGGGGCTTTGCAAGGCTGGGAGCTGTGTTAGAGGCAGCTTTGCAAAGCCGAGATCCCCTGGCTGTCTTCACTATGCCCCGCTCTCTTCCCTGCAGTGCTGTCCTCATTCGGCACTTTGCAAAGCTCCCCGCGACGTTGCATTTCCCGGGAAGGCCGGCGAAGGAACGCAGCAAGCCTGAGCCACTCGCCAGGAGCATGGAGATGCAAGAAGGAACCACGGAGCTGGGGCCCAAGCCCTGCCGGCAACTGGACCAGGCTGCAAAGGAGCCATCAGCA